GGAACTCTTATGCATTATTGCTGGGAAAGCAAAATTGTGCTGCTAGTCTGAAAAACAACATAGCAGTCCTTCAAAAAATTACAAAGTGAGTGTGATCTGATCTAACAAGTCTACTTCTGGGTAAATAGCCAAAGTAACTGAATGCAAGAACTCAAACAGATATTTGTTTATCTATATTCATATTAGCATTATTCACAATAGCTAAAAGGTAGAAAGAATATGTGCCCAACAACAGATAAACGGATCACAAAAATTTGGCACATACATAGAATGTATTTACTCAGTTTTAAAAAGAAAGCAAATTCTAACCAGTGCTACACCATGAAAGAACTTTAAGGACATTATGCTAAGTGAAATCAGCCTGTCAATAAAAGTCAAACATGATGATTCCATTTGTATGAGTTACGTAGCATAGTCAAATTCATAGAGAGAAAAAGCAGAATGGTTGGTGCCAGGAGCTGGAGTGAGGGAAGAAATGAGGAGTTATGTCTAATGGGATAGAGTTTCAGTTTTGCAAAATGAAAGTACTTCTGGAGATTGGTTTCACAATGTTGATGCCCTTCGCAATATTGAACTATACACTTAAAATGCTGAAAATGTAAATTTATGGCATGTGCATAGCATCATAATTAAAAGTAATGTTTTAAAGCAAGAGAGTGAAAACATAAGCCACAGAATGGAGGAAAATTTTGCAAATTATATATCTGATGAAGAGCTTGTGTAGAAAATATCTAAAGACCTCATAACTTAATTATAAGTCAAACAAGTCAATTTTAAAATGGCAAAGGTTTGAATATACATTTTTCCAAGGAATATATACAACTGCCCGAGAGCACGTGAAAAGATGCCAGACATCATTAGTCGTCAAGGAAATGAGACTCAAAAACACAACCAGATAGCACTTCACAAACACTGGGATGGCTAGAATCAAAAAGTGAGGTAATAACCATGAAAACTGATGTTAAGTGGAGCCATTTTAAAATGGTGCCAAAGTAGGCATTTCTGAGCAAAGAAACTGCCTTGCACGTCTTGTTCCTTAAACTTTCAGACTGGGCCAAACTGCAGCATTGGGAGAAGTCAGCCATAAACGAACATCCTGTCCACAAGGACTGATTTGGGGACTTTTACCTAGAGGTAGAATCAGTAACCAAGCATGGTTAGTCAAGACTAGCTTAAGCTCGTCAGCTCCAATAGAAAGTTTTCATAAACAACTCTAGTAATCTTTCTCTTTTTTTTCCCCCATAGAAAAATCCCTTGCTTTTACCCTGGAATCAGGACATGTTTGGGGTCTCTACATGAACGTGTATGTCCTGAATTGTAATTCTCTGCCATTCCCAACTACATGCATTTTGGTCTGCCTGCTACCCTTGCTGTTCTCTTGTTAAAGGTTAACATTTATGGTGTCAGAGGCATGGGATCTGAAAGACATAAACTCTGATGGCTGCTTGTCACCCCCACCCAGGTGAGATACCCGCTTGCACTCACCACTCATGAGTGCTTTACAGCTGTCTTCAGTAGGTACGTCTTCTCCTTGATTCCAGCTTCATATCCACTTCGCATTGAGCTCTCGGCCTTTGTTCATAATTTGTTTCATTTTATGCAGCCAATACATGGGATTTTCCTTCTGGTGAGTACTCTTCTGGTCTTTTGTTATGGGATCCCAGAAATCTAAAAATTCTTCAGGGTGCCGCCCTCCTGTCACTCCAACTGGTTATATGTACAAACATTTTGGTCCCTCCTCTTGTACCTTTTTAATAAAATGGACTAGAATAACCAAAGATAATTTAGAATTATAATGGCCATCTTGGGGTCCTTTGACCTCCAAAAACATTTTTTTGCACACAAAATTAGAAGACCATGGATCTAAAATTAAGCAAATTGAATGAGATGCCTGCTTTAATTGGTATTTAGAAGCCTCCAAGAGACATTAAGACTCTAAAGTTGCGTCCCTCCAGAATACTAGTACAAAACTGACTGAGGCCAACAAAGAAAGATAAGCAAGACTCTGAGATCTCACACCTTTCTTGTCCTCCTTGTGCTCCACCACACTCTATGTATCCCCATCTTCCTATCTCTAACTCTCTCTCTGAACTTCCTTTCACCTGGCCACCAACTCCACCTCTGGTTGACCCTCCAATTCTAACTTGCTCTTTTAAAAGCCAGACCAAATAAGGCCAGTACTTTTTATTTACTATTTTAATTTTTTTTTTTTTAAGTGAGCCCGGAACCAAAGTTCTTGCTGGACTCCTGGTCACATCCTTAGAGCTTTGTCTCTATTCTACCCCTTGGAGTTTCCTTCAGGTTGTTGGCTATAGTTTTCATCACAACCTGAAAGGATGGCAAGTCACTGACTTGGCGTAGAATTGAAATGAACACAATTCTAAGTAAGAGCAATACTAAAAGTTACAAATAGGAAGGACTTTCAGAGTAACATTAGGGCATAATGGTCTAGGTATATTGTTGCCCTTCCCAGGTAAAGGTAAACAAGTACTGACTTCCTGTGTCTGCAAGTATGCTAAAGAAAGCACTGCATAAGTCAATAACAGTAAAATATTTATTTCCGGTTGGTACGGAGCTAAGTAAAGTATGGGGATTTGGAACCATTGGCTGGCAGGGAATTATTTTGTTTTTTTATTGTTTGTAGGCCCTGGACAAATCTGTAGCCTCAACTATTAAGTTTCTTCACAGGCAATATGGGGGTGTTGTAGGGACTCCACTGGGAGTAATGAGGCCTCTTACTTGCTCCCATAATAGTTTATGCCTTGTACTGCCTCCTTGTATAAGGGGTATTGATTTATTCTTGGTAAAGGTTTGGATGGATCTACTTGCATCTTAATGGGTGATACACTATGAATTCTGCCAATATCAGCTAATATTTTGTCCATAAGGAGATCGGTAGCTGATCTAATAAGGAAAATTGATCAGCTTAAATGTTGTCAGCTCCAGTATTGACAAAAAAAAAAAAAAAAGAGGGGGAGTGCTGAGGGATCATTTGAGTCACTTATTTGAGTTCTTCAAATGTCGCTGCTGCTGTCAAATTTCGAAATAATTTCCCCCTTTCGAGAATGCCCCCACATTTCCAAAGTTAGAGCACTGTTGCAAGGCTTCTTGACCTCTGCTCCCAGGCTATAGTCTTCAAGCAAGGCCCTAATAAAAATCTTTCTAATATTTTCAAAGATTCAGGTTCTTTTCATTGACAAAAGCCATAAAAAGGGAAATTTAAAGATATAGAAAGTAAATTAGGGGTTGCCTAGGGCTGGGGGTTGGAGGAGGAAGATGGGAAGATTAGTAGTGATAGCTAAAGAGGAGAGGGGTTTCTTTCTGAGGTGATGAAAATGTTCAAAAATTGACTGCATGTATCTGCAAATATACCGAGAACCATTGAATTGGACACTTTAACAAGGTGCAGTGTATAGTGTGTACATTATATCTTTATAAAGCTGTTGAAATAAATAAATGTATTAAGAGTTTTGCAGTGAGAAAGAGTTTTAAAATCCAGTCTCTTAGATATATGAGAGTTTCCAGGTTAATTAACACATTCATTACTTCACATAGTTACTTTTTGTGGTATGCTTAATCCACTGTGTTAGCAATATTCAAGTATATAATATGGTGCCTGTGTATCAAATCATCATGTTATAATCTTTAAATATGGACCATTTTATTAATTATACCTATTAAAGAGAAAACCAGAGCCCCAAAAGGCCTTCACTTGTGCTAAATAAAGCCCATGCACCAAACCTAGATTTAACACCTGACTTAACTGCCGATTCAGCCTCTCCCAGAAAGGTAATCTTAATCAGTCTGGAATTTTCTGGTCAACACCCGTGAGATCACCTGTACGTGGGCCCTCTCCATCCACAGTGCCCTTTCCAACCTCCAAAGAAAGGAGAGGCAATTTGCATGAAAAACCTTTGCCATTCCCTTTCCCTAGGAACAAGATGTTCTGGTTTAAGAATAACCCTCACTTTTCTTTTATTAATAGCTCCCTCACCCCACCCTTCTATAAAATCCTTCCCTTTGCTACATCCCCTGGAGCACTCTCCTAGTTGCTAGATGGGGTGCTGCCCAATTCATGAATTGTTTAATAAAGCCAATTAGATCTTCAAATTTGCTCATTTGAATTTTGTTTTTAACATAAATAAAGGTGGGGAGGGGAGAGAAAGTTTCCAGATGTATTCCAAGTTTACATAATGATTTTTTGTCTTTCTTATAGCAGTAAAAATAGGAATCAATGGTCTTAGGGATATTATAGGATATTATAGTCATTTACATGTCAAAGTTCTCCAGGGACAGAGGCGAAAACTGATCTCAAATAAATTTCCTTCCAGTGTTAAATGAACACCTGAGAATGTAACGAACACATCTCACTCCCTGAAGTTAGACTGAGAAGAGTCCCTGAGCCCAGGCCGGGGCTGCGGGTTTCATCTTCCCACCAGAGCCAAGTGCTTGGGATTCTTTCAAGGATCAAATGAGAGGGGGTGGGGCAGGGATGGGTGGAAGGCTCAAGGCTGGGAAGCATCAAGGATAGATATGCAGCTTGACTCTATTTTTTTCTGACTCTATTTAAAGATGGTGCAGTCACATTTAAGTGTCAGTGTTTCTCAACAAGGGTCACATTTCACGAGAGGACTCCGAGCCTTATGCCAAGCCCTGGACTCTTAGACGATGTAAGACCCTCTCGTTCCAGTGTGTCCTGGCCCGAGTCGCCCTCGTGTTCTATACTTACTTGCTCCATTTGGAAACTCGGCGAGGATTTTTCTGTGTACACTTGTGCGCATGTGTTCACTAAGAGCTGGGCAAAAACAGTAGAGTCAGCCCAGGCCAGTAAAAGGTTCCATTAGAACGCAAACGTGCCAGGCCTGGTAAGGTTTCCCCCTACAGCTCAGGCTGGTTTGGATGAGCCTAACGTCCACCCGCCTGCTGTCACTCAGGCACGAGAGAGCGGGGCCTAGGGAGCTGTCCAATCAAGGGCGCCGCTGGGGCAGGTGGGTGGGGCGACGCACAGAAGTGGCGTGTACGTTTCTTCTCGCTCCAGCCCTGCTTGTTTTGGCTGGTCTCCTGACCTTAACGGTCCCTGGTGGCCCTTTTTCAGCCTTTGTCGCGCTGTGATCCGCACTGCTCGTGGGAGTCATAGGAATGACTCAGAGAGACCCAGGAAACCTAGAAATGGTGAGTGTGCGGGGCGGGTCAGTAGACCCGGACGAGGGAACCGACCGTGGCGGGACCAGGCCTCCCCGCGGTCAGGTCCGGAGTCCGAGGACCCGAGTCCGCTTGGGGGTGCCGCTTGGACCTCGGTCCCCTCCGGCACGCAGCGTGGGGGCTGGGCCGGCAGTTGGGACCCTGGGCGTCCTGTCCCGTCACTGCGCGCGGCGACTTCGGCCCTGGAGTCTCTCTGGGCAGCTCTGCGCCAGCAGCCCCGCGTCTCCGCAGAAGTGCGGTGACCACGGGGAGGGTCATCGGGGCACAGTCGTGACTTGGTCTCCGGGGATTTGTACGTCGAAGAGGCTGTGGTCTTTGGGGTCCCCAGTCCCACCTTTCTCCTAAGGAGCGGGCCGTTTGCTCCTGAGGTTTCCGAATGTTTGAGAAGCGGGGTCTGAAATCCATAACCCTGTCTCCCGAGCCTAGCTCTTCCTGGGACTGGCAATAAACCCCTAAATCTGAGATCCCTCCCAAGTTCCCAAACGCCATCTCCCCTTTGCTATTCACAACATCATTACCAACTATTTGTTCTCCGTCGTGTATTTCAAACAGACCCGGTATTTTAACGCTCATTTTCCCCGAGGCATGAATGGCTTATTGTTAAAGATTATATTTATCTGTATATATTTACATGAGAGAAAACAGAAAATAACCACCTGGAACTGCTTTCCATGAAATCCTTGTGCCTGACCCCTCAGAACCTCCCCTGGGCACAGACGCCCTGTCAGAAGTCCTTTGTGTGGAGGATCCTCTTGGGGAACTTTCCTGGGTGTTCTCTCCTGTCAGCATTGCCCCTCTTTGTCGCCTTCAAAATATTTATTCACTTACTGACGACTCCGCTTTTGAGTAAGGGTAAAATGTATTTAGTTGATAGAGCTTCAAAGACAGTTTAAAGTTATTTCCAAACACACAAAAAAAGATGTGAATTTCAGAAAAAAATAAGATATTCCTGTATTACATTTTACTTGTTATGAATTCTGGTTTCATTCTTTCCCTGAATTGTTGTGGTAAGTTTCTAAGGCTTGTCTTTACTTTTGGGTGTTTTCAAGTGAAATTTCAGTAGTCAGACCTACAGATGACAAGTGTTCAATGATTAAAACCAGTTTCTTGCCATGGAAATAATAATTAATTGAAAGCTACTTTTTTGGTTTTTTGTTTTGGTTTTCGACATGTTTTTCTGAGAGGAATAGATATTTTTGGTTTTCTGGTGGAACTAGTAAAAATGCTTTACAATTTTCCCTCCTTTCCAAATAAACGTTGGGTTTAAGTGATTTTGCCAGATTGTTCAAAAACTGAATTTGTGTCATTTAAAGTATCATTGACGTTCTAAAGCATCTCCAGTGGGGAGCAGAGGCCTTAGGTCAGTGACCCAAGCCAAGGTCCCCTTGACCTGCAAAGGGAAGCACTTGAAGGCCCCATAGTTCTTCCTAGGGAGCCTCCCCCTGCAGGTGTCCTACCTGCTCACACCTACTGTGGAGGAGCCTTGATGCAGAAGCTGCAGTCCTGGAGAGCTGGGGGATCAGGTGCACCTGGGGGAGGGTGATGCTGCCCTTTCTGAGCTTGTGGTTTTTTAGGTATAGACATTTATAGATCTTATGCTTGAGTTTTGCATCCACAGTATAGGTGCAATGAATGTAATTTGTGAACATTGAGAAAGTCTGGAGATCAGGAGTTCTGTCTTGTGGACAAAGGGTTTATAAATTGGGGAGTTCATTTCAGTCAGAACTTAAACTGAATCAGGCTGAGTATCATCACTGTGAGAATGGAAGCCTGGGAGTGACCCACTCTAGGGCTTCTGTCTCAACTGGGAATATTTAGACCTTAACTCTGGGAATACGTTCAACATTCTGTGGGTTTCCTTCAGTACTGTAGTGTGGCAAGCTTCGTATCTGTTTTGATTCTAATATTTGTGTTTCTTTTCTCGGATTCCTCTCTCCATTTAGTAGTGCAGCCCTTTGTTTCTAGTTCCATGAACATTTGAGGTACTAAAAATGTAAGTTGATTCTGGTATACACACGTCATCTGAAATGCCCCACCTCAGCTTTAACTGGATTTAAACGACTCACATGTTTCAGAAAACTTCACTATGGGGCGGGACCCTTGTCTCAAAACCCATCCCTTGGTTACACACTTGTGGGAAGAGCTTTTCCGCTTCACTCTTCCAAGAGCGCTAGCGTGGGAGGGTTACCACCCGTCTCAGCTTCACTTTTCTAAGCTGAACCTCTCTGCTCTGCCATAGAGCTTCACTGGGAGATACGGAGCGCTCCTGTCCCAGCCACCATCTTGTTTAAACCCTTGGTCTGAATTGGTCCATATGGATTCCATAGAGACCATTCTACCTCTGAATCGTAAAAGAAGAGACTTACTTAAAAAA